CGCTCACGCGACCGACCGAGCGTCCTGCGACTTCCGCTTCGACCGATTCGAACCCATTTTCACCGAGTTCTTCTTCTATTTCATCCAATTTGTCCATCGAATCGTTCGATTGTCGTAAACACGACACATTTAACGAGACATTCTCGTTCGATTGTTTCGAAGAATTTTGTTCATCGAGAAGAAAAATTAAGGATCAAGAAGAAACGAGTGAGATGAGAGACCAGAATGCCAGGAACGATGTGGAGGAAGAATTCAGAGATAAAAGGAGAGAAACGTACGATAAGTAGACGCCGTTCGGCGACGATCACCCTACGCGTCCCTTCTTTCTATCCCCCGAACGCGATCGATTTTATTCCTCGCCTTGGGATGAACGATTCTTCGTGCACGAGCGACTGATGGCTAACCTTTGAGCGCGGCTAACAGCAAGGTAAACATCGTTACTGCGGGCGACGATTTTTTAAACGCTTCAAAAGTGCCACTCTTCTTGTTGTTCCTAGCTTCTGATTATACAGACTCGGTTAAGGGCGATGGAAAATGGTTTTAGCCTCGTTTCGCTGATCGAGGTGGCTGATCGTGATCGATCCGTTGATCCGTTGATTATTTGGTACGTGGACTGGCTGGGGGAGTAATCGGGTGTACGTATAGCCGGAAACTGCTATAACTCGCGAAGTTAAAAGGCGGGAACGACGATGCTGGAAAGCAGCCGCGAGCGTGGAAAACATCGGTGAATCGAGGAACGTGTGTCGCGGTTTACCGTAATCCGGAGGATGCCGTAGCTCTCTGCCGGGAGTTCGGTGAAGTAGCGAGCAGTTTTTGAATTTTTGATTCGCGTACTCGTTGGAGACGGAAGATTCCCTCGGAGAATGACAGTTTCTGTTTCCTTCGGAAACGTATATTTTCCGAGTCGTATTCTTCTGGAAATACGAACGAAAGAAAAATTCTGTTTTTGATCGTTGCGATCTAGGATCGATTATCGAATCACGTTTCCCCGTCGAAGCAAACAATTAAATTCTTACAGCGCAAAGACCAGCATCGGGAAAGTAAGGAAGATCGAGGAGCACTCGTGAAATGGGAATATTCCAACTTTGATCGAAGAACACGTTCGAAAGTATCCTGGCTCGATTGTCTCAACGATGAATCGAGAAAACGAGGAAGTACGTTTAATCTTCTAATTTCAAAAAATACTTGGCAGAACGAGCATTCGAATTTCGTTCATTTTAAACGTCCCTCTCTTAACTCGTCTTTGCTTTGTTTTCCCTCCAAATTCTCAGTAATTTTATTACTTTTAACATGGTTATTAATTTTCACAACGTTACATTTTTTACTTTGTCATTATTTATAAAAGAAAGAGAAAGATGAAAAATTGACGAGAAATTTATGCGAAATTAATGGATAATATCTAATTCACGTTCGGAAGGTTTTTAGAAATAATTGTCTGAATGATAATGTCTCTGTAGCAGCGACCAGTCTCGCAAACGCTTTGCGGAGTTTTGCAAAAAGAACCAAGTTGCAAATGTTTGGTTCTGTCCGTGTTAATATACGGATGCCTTGCCGCAGTGACGTGGTGTAGATGCGCGAATGTCACCAAGGTACGTCACTTCCTCTGCATTACGGAAATCCAATCCGAGCATTGTACTACGAAAATTTAACAATTCGATTCACTTGACCGTTCGTAAATTAAGAAAAGAAGGGACTTTGAGTGGTAATTGTTCGTAGGTGATAATCAATTTCTCGAGGTACCCAATTAAAAGCACGAGACACGTGTCTCCCTGTGACGATAGCTACATATACATTCTCGTAAGTATATAGGAAAATCAATTCGAAACATCCATATTTATCACAGAAAAATCGAATTTTTCAAATTAGTTTGTCATAAAGATAAATTTAATCAACCCTGGAATATTCGAAATCGAAACGTGGATTTTCATTTAAAATTCGTTAAAATCAATTCTTTCCCCTTAAAATAATCTGAACGAGCAGCTTTCTGTAATCTGTTAAACGGCGAACGTAGTAAATTTTCATTCGCAGAGATTAAAGTCCATCTGACAAAAATTAACTTGTCTTGATCAACTTTTAATTCCATGAATTTTTCTTAATCTTAACTTTGAACTTTTTCCAAATTTCTATACTGGCTGTTCCAAGTTTCCCTAGCCAAACTTTGTCGGTATATTCCGTCTATATAAATACGTATAAACCAATAAATTGAATCTTTTATCGTTGTCAGTTTCGTATCGACAGAAACGGTGAATATTTTGGAACGGAATACGACCAGCCAAGGATTATATTCGACTTAAACTTATATTCGCCTTACGATATAATAACCGCTGTGTATTTCACATTTTTTCTTATAATTGTTTGTACATTTTTCTTATAACAATCTATATTTATATAACGTTCTATAAAGTTAAAGTTTGGCCATTAAACTCTGCAGAATTTTTTCGGACTTTTTATTAAAAGATAACTTGACGGATTAAAATCCAGAAAGTATCGTAAAGTGGAAATTACGAGAAGGGAAGGCGACAGGATGAGAATTTACACGAAATATTTCATTCTATTGCAGGTGGCATTCATGGGGATGCTGTATTTGGTCTATTTGGTGGAATGTTATCATTCACCGATCAGGATCGATTTGTTACACGCGGAGAGCCAGGATAGCGTGTTATTGAAGATCTTGCAGCTAAAGTCGGCACAACCGACCATCTGGTGGAAAGCTGTCTCGTACCATTACGTGCGACGTAAACGTCAAATTACCCGGTACAGAAACGGAGACAATTACACGACGACGCAGGTAACGCATAATGCGCAACGTGCAACGCATATCTCGTGATCCAGACGAAAGGAAGTCGCGGGATGGTAAATCGTTGATACGCTTCGCGCGAGCCTCGCCGAACCTTGTTGCGAGGACAGATGGACCATTCGCTCTTTCGCCTTCTTTCTTTGCTAAAATTCTTGCTTAATATTTATTTCTTCTGATATTACTAATAACTTTATACGATATCAACTCTACACCTATTACAAATTCATAATTTAAGGTACAAAGAATTTCTTACGAATAGGCTGCCGTGACGCTTGAGCTGGTTCGGATAACAATTCGACGAAAAAATGTTTCAAGCGAAAATTCTTTGGCATCAAAGGAGTGATTCGGCGATCTATACTTTTGCTCAATGGCCCATCTATCCCCGATTTATCCCTCTTTCTGACGCTTTTCGTTTTCCAGGTCTACTACGAAAGGATAAACACCCACGCCGCCACATCTTTCTACTATTACGACTACTGTGGCGTAAAGGACATCAGCAAAGAGTTGATCCTGAATCCAAAAGTGCCGATCACGAAGATCAATCTCAGCAAAGGATTCGCCTTCTCGAACATGAGATCAGCGACAGAGTTTGAAGAGGCTAGGTCGAGATTCTTCGCGGAACAAGTATTGGAGAAATTGAAATGAACCGATTGGATCGTGGATTTTTGTTTTTATTTTCATTTGTGCGAAATTTGAAATTTCGAAAGTAGAGTCCAGGGTATGGTACTTGAGTTTTACACTAAATGAAACGAATCTTTATCCAATTTCTATTTCTCTGATTAAGTCTATGGAAGACAAATTTGCGTAAGAATCCACGGTCCATGAATGATTACAATTCTTGATTGACAATTATCCAGTGAACGAGTGCGATTCAACGAATTAAGATGCCATATTGTTCGAAGGAACTGAGAGACGACTATATGGAGATGAAAGAAGGTCTAGATCTCGGATATAATTCAAACCCCACGATGCTGGTGGCTGTTCTTGGCAACCCTTGGTTCACTAATCGCTACGTCTATTGGTGCTTGAGTGCTCTATTGCTCAGCTGGCCTTTGAGAGTGATCATAGAGTACAAATCGCAGTATGCTGACTATCAGGTGAAAAGCTACTCCATCAACTACTACTTATAGTCGTAGTTCGTCTGATCTGAATCTAATTTAAATCCCAGATAAAAATGACATTATCTCGAACGATATGAACAAGTCGAGAAACATTTTGATCGATATCATCGAGTTGTCGAGTAACAGAAACGGCATTACAATTCTCAGATCACCAAGCTCTTCGGAATCAACTACGACACACCAAGCGGAAGCGAGCCAATACACGCATCCATGAGCCAACAAACTATCAACCAGCCCGGCTCGTACATGCTGGCACCGAGTTACAGCGAAGCGCTTCTCATGGACCCAGCACCGGACCAACGACCAGCCGAGTCCCAAGACGCAAGCAGAATGGAAATGGTGCCGAGTTATTCGGAAGCGTTACTCTATCAGCGAGCAGAACAAGGCTGCGTCGTAACACAGGAAGTGAACGAGGATTCGAACCGTCGAGTAACGTCGCGCGAATGTACCTGTCCCTGCCACGCCGTCTCCTCTACCTTCGAAATGAACGCGCAGGAAGAAGGATCCAGACAAGACGAAGAACACGGCCAATCGGTGGATCAGGCCAGACAGCCATTGATAGAAACCGCGATCGAAGTACACCCTTCGAATTGCACTTTGGTCAGCGAGACAGAGACCGGCAAGTGTGGAAGCTGCGGGAAATTCTTGGTCGAGGCACAGCTGGAGAGCTTAGAGATGTCGAGAAGCGAGTGTAACGTAGAAAACCCTGAGACAAGTTCGATGACGGGGTTGCAGAATGTTAGAAGAGGCCCGAGGATCAGTATGATGCCTAGAGACATGTCTGAACCGAATCTTAGGTCCAGATCGGAACTGATGGAAGTTGACACGAGATTCCTTAGATTGAACGGACAAAGCTTGAGGAACATTTTAGAGAGCGACCAGGAAGAAGAATTTGGTATCGAGGACAGAGTGGAAGAGATTAGTGAAGATAAGATGAGCGAGCCAGAAAAAGGAAGAAACTTCAGGTTATCCCTTTGTTTCCTCGATGAAGCCAATTCCAGGTCTACAGTGGCTGTAGACGCGAGTAGAGGCGCGATACCGAAAAGGATAGCCAGCAGAAGCAGAGTAATCGCGAATCCCATGTCGAACGAGACTTGCGGACTGCCCGATTCGACAACGTATTTTTGTCTCAAGTCGATTCTTAAACAGAATAAACGGAGATACACTCTGATTACCGCAAGGGAGCTTCAGAATCTCTCGGATAGGGAGGATGACGATGTGATCAGACGATTGGAGAATCGATCGTCGTATCACGAAGGCTGTATTCCGAATTCTGCTTCGAAGAACAGTGCTGAAGAAAAATTCGATCTGTTCTCGAGATCGAGAGAAAGCTTGGATGCAGCTTCTGGAAGGAGGAAGAAACAGTTATTGGAGAATATGTCCACGGATAAGAATGAAGATGGATCGAAACGTGAAAGCAACAGGTAAGTTCTTGATTAAGAAATTTGTTTAAAATTGGAAAGAAAATTGCTTAATGGCTTAGTACCAAGGCTTTATTTATAATCTATCTGGTTAAACCAAACTTGGTTAAACAAACCGAGACAACGAAACAAAGCTCAAAGAATCCTCCCACGAATTGAAATTTTCCCTCACAGAACTCTCATCTTTGCGAGTCCGATACAAGAAGTTTGTCCTGGCGATCCTTTCGGAGGAAAAGACGTAGTTCGAACGCGACAAGAAGTAGATTCCACCTCGCCAGACGAGTCACCAAACCACACAGTTCTCAGCCAACTCGGACGATCTCTCACCTGTGACCGGAAATCAGCTCGACGTCGATTCCAAGAGTCTCGTAGACAACGTTACTCGGACAGCTCCCATCCTTCTTCCTTTTCCTGTCCACCTGATCGTCAACATCCCTATCCATACGCTTTCTCGGCGTCCACAAACGCCGTGGACACCACAGAATTCGACAAGAACGTTCAACAAACCTCAGCTCGCGTTTACCAACACGCAACGTCTTTTCCACCTTACGAAGGATCGATTTCCGGCCACAGCGACAAATTTACCGATCAGCAAGCTACGATACACAGAATTTCTCCGATGAACCTTCCTAGGTCATCGAACAAGGCAGAACTGACCCGTTCATTGACCGAAAGACGAACGAAAACGGTTCGAAACAACGCGAATTTTCGACGAAGCTTTACAGGAAGAGTAGAGGATTACAGAACGGAGAACAACAAATGGGCGAATCTGAATATGGAGACGTCGTTATAACGAAGGGACACGAGATGATAACTATAAATATCCGTCCTGCCACTTTTCAACATCCTGTACATACAGCGTAAATGCGATTTAATCGGCCCCGCCTTTTCATCGAGCTGGAAGGTGCTCTCGAGTAGGAAGAAACTGATCTTTTGGTCGAACTTTGTTTTGCAATGATACCGAGTTTTGTGAATTTCCTTTGCAACATATAATACTTTTTAATTAGTCGAATCCAAAAGTATCTTACTCTTAAGGAGCGGAGATGCTTATTTTAAATTCGTTGTATATATTCCAAGGTTATATAACAAAATTCATGGATATTTTTTTCTTACATTCGTTCACGAAAATATTTCAACACTTGGCATAAAAATTTTCATGCCAAAAAGCTTTTCTTATCGAAGGAACCGTAAAATATTGCAATGAGACGCAATTTGTAAAAAAATATTCGTTATACGTTTTTAAAAAGAGTCACGAATTCGGTGTGCCTCAAAAACAAAGTTCAGCCGACTGTTTTGTTTTGAAATTCGAGCGTGAAACGCTGTCGATCTTGTCAATAGGGGTTGTGCCATGGACTGGAAAGAAAATTCTCTGTTTCTTAGAGGGATGCACCTTGCTAATGGTCGTGAGCGCGATTTATAATTGATCCAGCGTCAATTATGCGTGCAGTTTTTGCGCGAGCTTCATGAAATGAGAGATCCTCGAAGAGCTCTGCAAGATCTTTCAATATAAAATTCAGGGGTAGGAAATTTGAAAATGAGAGCTATTTGTATACAGGCGTTTTTATCCTGTTGTGTTAAGTAAGATAGCATGTTTATGGTTATGTCCATGGGGTTTCAATTATATTTAGATCGTATTGTTCCACAATTCTCCTCGATGAAGTGTTTCGATTTTCGGCTAGTAGGATGAGATTGAACTAATCCCTCGTTATACTAAATATATAGAGCATTTTATATAAAGTAAATTAATAGAAATTAATAGATCAATTACAAAACATTGCACTAGATTGTTCGTAAATTGTACGATTCTTAATGAACCACATTTAAAATATATTATAGCCAATATTAAGGCTGTATAAGGCTGTATATAAAAATTAAAAAGGAGAAAAAATATAATTTAATAGACATGAATCAAAAAATCACAGATGAAACTCTGAAAAATAATAACTGTCGTCAAAATATAAATAAATAAAAATTCATTGGCACGAAAACGTAAAGAAAATAAGAAGAATGTATATATTATGAGGGTTGGTTTATTCTTATCCTAACTTCAAAGTACCTCTATGTCCTTCAGAAACATAGAGTATGGAAACCATACCGTGAGGTTAATTCGTACGAACTTACTGTTCGTAAAAAATGTTCGCTCAAACATAAGCAAGGAAAAACACGTAGATTTTACAAACAAGAAGATATTGAAGCAAAGTAAGAAATATAGGAAATCGAAATAATAATCGAATAAATCGAAAAGGAAAAATCCGTGCCGAAAAACGATTGAAAGTTTTCGCTTCTCCGTGCACATAGAATTACGAAAAAAAGTACATAAGTATATATATATATACATATATACAATATACATACACACATATATATTTTTGTCTACATGTTTGCTCGCTGCAACAGAGAAGAAAGAAGCTATCCGTAATTCCGATCATTTTTACCGGTCTCTCGAAATTTTGACCGAGAACTTTGTATTTATTAGATATATATATATACATATACTATTATTATCGTAATATTATCGCGAGGAAACAAAACGCACCGTTAATGCTTTTAGGAGGATATTTTTCATATACGAATAATGTGTATTGATGCCAATTGCTAATCGTGATAATCATTGATAGAAGTCACTATATTAAAAGAAAATAATCATGGTATGATTAAGGGTCTAAAATTTTTCTTCCATTTTCCATTGTCTCTAAATGAACTAACAAGTCGACGGTGTATTCTTGAAAAGTATTTGATTATTATATTCTATATCTTTTACATAGTACATAGATAATATTGTTTAATATTCATTTGATGCATATGAGGCTAGTCAACGAAAGAATTAATAACCTTAATTATAGCATGATTATTTTTATCTAGAATAAATTAAACACACAAGATTCTGGTATCTGTAATATATACATGTGTTTGTACGTGTAATTTTACACGATGATTCGCCTTTAACGAAAAGCAAGATGAACTAATTGTAAGTGCTACTTATCAACCCATTCGATTTTAATCTATTTATTGATAGAAAAAGGATAACTAAATCTTTAATCGAAATTCGAATTCTTTCAAGAATAACGAAAAATGTGTATGAAATACTACATGATCGTATAAATCTTTTTTCTAATGTAATACTCAATTTTGACATTTATTCTGCAAAAAACGTATATTCGAATGGGTTGAAATTCGTTAGACGCATCGTAGAAATATCTGAAATTCGAAAATTCGAATACCGGTTAGCTGTTGAGTCTGTACTTACGATTTCCGGATTCTAATTACGAGAACACCGACAAAATTTGCTCCATAGTCACTAAATTTTCGTCCAGCTAGCAAAATCTTTCACAAAACCACCAAAATTTCCAAAATATCCCGATATTTATTCGATTTTCTACGCTACCGGATCACACGACGTACACACGTTCGCATTTCGAACTACCAAATCACCGAGAATCACAATTACGATGCGAGAATCGCAAGAATATCGCGAGAATCGCAATCAAGTCTCGCCTGTCATTTTAGCGCGAAATTCAAACGAACAAAAGCGTAGTTGAACCGCTATATAGATGTAGGCTTATTGCAATTTGTTGAATGACGATCGACGAAGCATGTGATAATGAAATTCGATACTCACGATGTATGTATGTATAAATGTTAAGCATCTCAGGATAACGCGTGTAACTACTTTTTAAGTTTAAAACGAACAGCGTATGACGAATTTTTTGCTCTGTGTACGATAGAACGTTCGATAAACACGTCTGACCAAAACTAACTGCAAAGAGGCACTTTCCGTAGCAGCGGATATCATGACTCGAATACATAATGCAGAAACTAAACGCAAAATATTTAAAAATACAGTTACATCGTGTTGGAATTTGATATGATATAATTAAAATATAAATAGTATAATTAATTAACACGAGAATTAAATTACAACTTAATAGCTGTAGAAAAATAATTTTATTAAATAGGATGCACATTGATTAACATCAGAATTAAACGTTAAAATTTGAAAGTGTCTCTTCCAACGAAATATTCGAGCCTTTAACGTTTGAGAATTCAACGTTCATCGATTCATAAGTTTATAGTGGCAGATATCTAGGCTTTAAGATGTAATCGACGATTTTGAACATTAACTATCCAAGTTTGAATAGTCGAATGGTGTTTATCCTTAAACGTGAATTGAACTTTGCGTTGTTACGAATCAACCATCCGTCAAAACATTTCGATTAAAAATGAATATTACGAAAATTTGGCTATAGCAAGAAAGAAATTGTACGCCAAGAAGGCTTTCCCGGATTATTGCTTAATGCTCACACGATCTGAAACCGTGGCATTGGAATACTCATTGCCATGCAATGTTTAAGAACATAAACGTACCCATGCCGTCTCAAAAAAAGTGCTCTTCTAAATAAAAAATTGTTAATATACGGTGAATTCTGTCCATTATTGCGCGATAATTGGGTAATGCGTTTACATGCGTTACGTACACGCATATTCGTTTGCGTAAAAAAGCCTGTAATTGTATACTGCTGCATATGTAATTATTATGATTATTATTAACGACGATATACAAATCATTCTTGTAAAAACAAAAAAAAAAAGAAGGAAACGATATGGTATAGTATAATAAACGTTGACACAAAAAAAGGAACTTGTTTCCTCGAAATATTTACTACTTTTGATTAATCTTTTACACACATATAAAAACCATTATGAGGAAAAAGTGAAATAACGAAATAGTTTGATTCCAATGTATTTTTCTAAAACGTGGGAGAGTATTAATAAAAGTATAAGTACAGACACGAATGAGATAATAACAAAGATGGGGTAAAATCTTTATCATAAAAAAAAATTATTACGCATAAAATGACCGATACATTACTGGCATATTATACAATCGAATATGACACTAATATGTCGGACTGTTAAAACAATTATTCGTGATACACGGTTTGCTGTTGTTACCGACGTTTATACACTTTACTTTTTTGTTTTACTTTGTTTTTTATAAACATCCATGGGAAAGGAAAAGATAGGAACCTTTCTTTTTTTACTTGTGCCCACTTTGCTTGCCATATTAAACAATAAAGTGTCTTTACATAACCATAATAAATATATATTTGTGTTTCTTCTTGTAAACACTTGGTGTGAACAGAAATAACATATAGGACTCTTCATTTAGTTGGACTAGCAATATTGGCAAATAATCGCATCAGGCTAGTTCTCAACGATAGTGAATTGCGCAGTAGATTTTTTTCTTAATAAAGCTAATTTTTCACATAACCATTTTGTGTGTAGTAGACTCGGTAATAAAGCGTCTTACTTCGCCAAAGTGAATATGTATTATCGAATTTAAGAAGATACACACCCTGTAATTGGAATATATAAGTACGATAATATTTACAAATATTACATTTTTTCAAAGATATATTTTCATTTACCTGCCCTGGGTATCTATGACTTCCTGCGTAGACTTCTTCTTGTGAATCTCTCCTGAAAATCTGCAAAAACAATTAGCATAAAAATACTAGAACCATGGAAATTTTATTTCTATTTCTAAAGTTAAAAGGTAAACTGATATATTTACAGGTATTATCACGCTTATAGGTGGTGGCAATGGTTTGTAATCAGACTGAATTATACCATTTGTTACTCCGCTTTCTAAATCATCTCTTGTTTCATATTCATCATCCTCTTCCTCTTCCTCTTCAGACTCACTAATATGTACTGATACTTGATTTGTTTCTGGTTTTGACCATTCAAAATATAGTCCAAAACCTATATCATAGCCATCCGTTGCAAATTCCCAAAATAAACACAAGCCATCTTCGTGCGTTGGCACCCTAACCGTTACGATTTCTCCATGACCAACTTTAATAACTGCATCACCATCTTCTCTCCTAATGAGTTGCTTGAAGGCATCTACACCCTGTCTAGTCCACATTTCTGGTGGAGCTATAGGTGGGTAATCATCTGGCAATTCATCAGAATCTTCTCTGTTCAATGTGGCCGTTTCATTTGTTTCTTTTGGCTCTTCCTTCTCAGCATTTTCTGTTGTGGCAGTGTTTATTTCTGGAATTTGATCTTCTATGACTAATTGGTTTTGATGTAATTGTTGCATGTACTGATGATAATGTTGTTCTTGCAACTGTCTTATTAGTACTCCTTGTTGCTCTGGATTGCCAGGATATTGTTGCTCCGCATACATTTTGAATTGGTAATATGTTTGTTGATTTAAGGCATCTTGAATTTGTCTCCTCTGTATTTCTTCCTTTAATCTAGCTTCCTCCTCTTTCTTTCTTTGTTCATCTAATTCTTTTAACCTCCTTTCTTCTTCTACTTTTCTTGCTTCCTCCTCCCTTTTCAACCTTAACTTCTCTTCGATATCCCTTCTTTGTGCTTCTACAACTGTTCTAAACAGGGGACATAGCTTGTCTAGCAAAACTATAAATCCTTCCATTGCCTGTTCCTTGGATATGTTTCCTAGATTTTGCCATGCTAAGCGTCTGTCCTTTCCAATTACATCCAATACACCCAAAGGTGGTGCATTCTCTGCAGTACATTTGCCATGCGTTACTTGCTGGGTAAAAGCCACTAGCTTTAATTTGTCTTCATAAGACAAATGGACAGCTTTGCCTTCCTTTTCTACAATTTTTACACAATTTATATAATTGACATGTTGACATCGAAGGAAGATAATATTATCTATACATTAAACTACTGATGGAAAGAAAACATAAGTCTACAAAATCAACAGTAAACTATATACATATACACCAATCAACAGTGAAGTTCTCATGAAATTTTATACTTCAAACTTTAGACGTGTTGG